AGCAGGAGCAAACTCAAGTCCCTGCCCTCCTGGAGTTCACATTCTTCGGGGCTGCTGACGAGCAAGATAAATTAGTAAAACGTGGAGTCTTCTCAATCCTAGTCAGTGCTGAGGAGAAAACCTAAAGCAAGGATGGGGGTTAGGATAGTTTGCAGGGGAGGCACATCGGGGGCAGAGGGCAGCTTCCAAAGGCATTGAGGAGCAGGTTTCTTGCTGGGGGCCGACTCCAGCACCCCGACTCTGAGGAGGGCATTTGGGAGAAGTCCTGGACCTTCAGGCCCTACTCCTGATTTTGTGCTTTGTGAGGGTGAGACAGCCAGGCGGGATCGAACGCCCTTCTTTCCATCTCCCAGAGACCTCCTCCAGCTCGCTCACCGTGGGGGCCTACGTCTTCATTGGCGTGGGGGCCGTCACCATGCTCATGGGCTTCCTGGGCTGCATCGGCGCCGTGAACGAGGTCCGCTGCCTGCTGGGACTGGTGAGTGGGCCCCTCCAGCATGACCCACCCAGCTCCCCGAGCCCTGCCCTGACCCAGGTAGGGTGGGGAGCATCGGAAAATGAGTGGGACCTGGTGGGGGACGCCCCGCTAACTCTGCCTGCTCTGTGTCCCCAGTACTTCGTCTTCCTCCTCTTGATCCTCGTCACCCAGGTCGCTGCTGGAGTCCTTTTCTACTTCAACATGGACAAGGTAAGCACTCTTTCTCCCCGCCCCCCACCCGCGCCGCGCTGGCCATGCGGGGGGATTGGCCTGGGGATGGGAGAGAGACAAGTCTTGCTGTCACAGACAAATCTAGTAGGTGCCAGGGCAGTCTCCCTGTGATCGAACGGTGAACCATTAGACCAGAAGCCACTGTCCGTGGGCAGAGTCGCTGCTGGGGGACCCCACTCCACCCCTTTCTAGTTGGGTGGCTGCCATGCACAAGCTGCTTGCCTCTCTGTGCCTGTGTAACCTTCTGCCAACTGGGGACAATCATAACATTTAACTTTCCAGGTTGTTGTGAGGGTTCGGTGAGATTATGTTAGTGAGACAGTGCAACGCTTGGCACAGTCAGGCCTCAATATATGTTGTTCTTCTTATTATCAAGGAACCTTAGCAAGCACTAAATCCATGCCACCCATTCACAGACGAGGCCCAGGGAGGAGACTGTCAATAAAAACACTAGCCCCGTGTCAGAGGCAAGGTGCTCAGCTTTGAGGAACACAAAATCAGACCTACTGGGGCTTAAAAATCTAAGGACACTTCTTGTAGACATAACCAGAAATCAAGTTTGGAAGCTCAGAGACCCTGGTTCTGGCCGTCTGTTCGGCGTTCTCATCGTGATGGCTTTTCTACATGCTACTCACCTCATAGTCCCAAGATGGTTGCCACAGCACCGTCTTGTGCTGCTGTGGCCAGAAGAAGGGCAATGGGCAATGCCAGCCATGGCCATGCCTTTTGTCAGAAGAGCAAGATCCCTAAAAATTTATCTCAGACTGGTTTGCAGAGGCCCCCTTGGCTTTAAGAGAAGCTGAGAAAGTGAGTACCTAGTTTTCAGACTCTAAATACAGAGACACAAATGAGGAAGGACCCGGAAATGGCTGCTGGGTGAGCCAGTTGGTTGTGACTATCACAGTTATTTATGGAACACCTACTGTGTGCACGCGGTATCTTCTAGAAGCTTTACGCACATCGTCTCTTCCTCATAACAGCTCTGTATGGGAAGTGTTATGTTCTCAGACAGGGAAGCATATGCTCAGTGAAATGGGTAACGATACAACACCAGTCATAGTAACTACAACCCCCACCATTCCCACTTTGCTCCAGCACACACCATATACTGGGCACAGTGTTGTGCCACTTTACATTCACCCTTTCATTGATCCTCACTGCATTCCCGCGAAGTAACCTGAGAATCCTTGAGGGGAGAGGGCACCCAGCAGGTCAGTGGCCAGGCCAGGTGAGATCCAGGCTCCCTGACGCCAGTGGCCGTTCGTCTGCGGCCCAGCTAAGCCTGGGGGCCTGCCTTCCTCCTAGTTCTCGTTCACAGAGTGGGTGGCAGAGCCGGTACCAGGCGCCTCCTGCATTTTACCATTTAAAGGTCAAGTGGCCTCAGATCCCTCGTAGAAGGAAGCTGAGAAAGCATTACACTGTCGACAGCTAGCACTTAATAGAACTTAGGACAGCCTGATGCTAAATGTTGTGTACATACTGTATTTACTGTTTGGTCCTCAAAACAATGCTATGAGATGTGGAAGCTGAGGCACAGGGAGGTTATGCGACTGGCCAAAGGTCACACAATAAGAGCCAGAATTTGAACTCCAGCAGCCTGGCTTCTGGGTTTGTGCTGGTGAAATTTTCACTGTGGTGGTTCCTATCTGAGTCTGAATTACTTATTTATAATCCACACTCAGCCTGCTTCTCAAGAGAATTGGAGCTGACTTCCAACATAGGCACGGGGCAGTTAAAATCAAAATGAGAGCGATTAGAATGCACGCTGAGAAAAAAAGAACATTTTTCTTGAAGCCAGGGTATGAGATTTTCATGTAGCTGAGGGCTAACTTAAACACTGAACTTCCTGGCAGCCAAGGCAAAAAGGGAAATATGGTTTCAATAGATGAAAGGATGCTTGCTTGGCTACCAGACAGGAAGCAAATGTTTAGGTTGGGGAAACTCCTTTCCCAGGGAAAGGGTTGCAGGATCAGCTTTTCATTTTTGCCCTACAGGGGCCTCTCTGGGATCTAGAGAGTGGTACATTATAATTAGGGTGGACAAGAGCTGGGCACCGGTGAGTTGGGTCCTATGACTCAGAAGCTGGTCAACTCTGCAGAAGTCTCGGGCAGTCCACCTTTTCACCCTTTGTGTATTTCCCATCTCACAGTAATACAGATGGCACCCATATGTGGACGCCAACTACATGCTAGGAGCTGACTTAGTAACTTGACACATGGTTCAGTTTTACAAGCAGTTTTCACTCGAAGAAACTGAGGCCCAGCAAAACAACGTGACTTTTTGGCCACAGTCACACACGGCTCAGAGGTGCCCACAGCCCCCGACCCGAGCAGGGCTCGTGTGGAGAATCAGCTCTCTTGCTTCCAGTCTAGACTCTGCCCCTCACCCCACCGTCCCCTTCTCCGCCTTCCGCACCACCCCCGGGCTTCACGCCTCACGCCCCCTGGTCCCAGCCCGCCTCGCCTTGGCCCGCCTCCTCTTCTGGAAGAGTCCGGGGGAAATTTTCTGGTTTTGCTGGGGAAGCTCTGGCGCCACTCTATCATCCGAGTTGGAATGAATGATTTATTTTTTCTTTCCCAGCACATTGTAAATCCTGGTAGAAGACTAAACATGCCTTTGATGATGTTTATTCCTGCAGATGAGGCCCAGCTGGGGAGGTGGGACTTGTGTGAGCCTGAGAGGGAAAGGCCTTTTGGAAGGTGGTGGGCCCAATCTTCTCTCGCTCTCTGGGCCTCCTGGGCAGGTGGGAAGGATAGAGCCCCTGGGATCCTCCTGAAGTGGTCTCCAGGCTGCCATCTGTCCTTCCTGCCTCACACTCCCAGCAGCCACTGTTCCCAGGGCAGCAACAGGGGGAGGCTGGGGGCCTTGGGCGAGGCGCATGGCCTCTCAAGCCTTGGGTTCCTCGATTATAAATCGAGGAGAATGAACCTGCCTGGTCCCCACCTCACCCATGAGCACTTATAAAATATAAGTGCGGTGGCCACGGGCCTGGACCCCAGAACTGAACTGCCCAGGTTGGAAACCCTGCGCTGAGACCCTTGGCAGTTTACTCAGCCTCTCTGGGCCTCCGCTGCCTCCTTTTGTCAAATGTCAGTAATCATACAGGTCCACTGTCCTTCGTCTGCAATTCTGAAACCCACAAGTACTTTGAACACCCCCAAAAAACCATTTACAACTCATTTGGTTACAAAATGGAACCTGAACAGAAGTGAGGCTATTTATGGCCTTTATGTACCCCATTCAGATGTCCCTCGGGACATGTGAATGAGAGAGGTTTCGGGCTATAACACATACCCTAGTCCCCTTCTCAAATCAAAGCGTTTCTCAGAGCCACAGCACATTGGCCCCGAGGGCTACCTTACAGTGCTGTGGCGAGGCTTAAGAGCATAGACATATGGGAAGGACATAGCGTGCTGGCCCAGAGCAGATGTTTGCTGGCATCACGGCAAGCGTTATTGTCACCATTATTAACTTCTTTAATGCCTCATAAGGGCTCAATAAATGGCAGCTGTTCCTGTTGTCAGTATTAATATTATTATTAGCAAGGGCTATGGGAACCAAGAAGTGTGAAGGTACCATTTCTCTGGCTGCTTCCTTATCTGACTATCCACCTCCGGTTAGGGGTCAAAGGGCAGGTCCGGGATTCAGAGGCCCTGTGTTCTAGGGTGGGCTCTGCCACCGATTGCTGTGTGGCCTTGAACAAGTTACCCAGCCTCTCTGAGCCTCCGGTGACCTCTTGGGCCTTGCCAAGGTCTGACGCTCTGGATTCTGACTTGTTCTCTGCAGGCAGTGGAGGGTAGGAGGTGGCAGGGAGGAAGGAAGGGAACCGATACTGCTTCCTATGATGTGCGGGGCCCGGGGCTTGCTGCACTCACGCAGGCCACACTACTAACTCTCCCCGAAGCCTGCACAGGCGAGGTCACTGATGCTCCGAGAGGTTGTATCGGGGATTTGAGCAGAAGGCCTGGGGGCTGAGAGCTTGGAGGGGAAGGGGCTCACATGGCCTGGCTGGGACCCGGGGTAGTGGGGTCGACTGCTGTGTTCTCCCCAGAGAGGGTGGTCTGGAGAACGTGACTCCCTTTCTGCTCCTTCCCTCTCCCACCTGAGAGGCCCCAAATAGGCACTGTGCAGGTGCCCTGAGGTACAGGTGTGAGACGGGTCCCTCTAGAACAGGGCAGTCCTGTGAGATGTCCGCTCACTCAGATGGGAGCCTCCTGACCAACTGACTTGGGGGCAGCCGGAGCCAGGACAGGGAGAGGTGACCTTTCTCTTCCCTTTTGGGAAGGGGGAAGAAGGCGTCCAGGCTGTTCTTCTGGAAAGGGATCATGGAGAGAAATAGGGTGGAGACTCATAAGCACCTGCTGGGAGCTGGGCTGCCTGGGGGGCTCCAGTACAGGCCTCGCCCTCAGGAGCTTACGGGGTGGGGTGGGGGGACATAATCTGCCTCCCGCAGGACTCTGGGGTAGCTGATTATGTGGATTGCAGCTGGACTTTCAGGAAAGATTTGGTTGGTCACTAACAGTAAACTGCCACCCCCTCCACGTTCACCACTGCAAAGCGTCCTCATTTCCTATCAGATTACCAGGATTAAGCCTCAGAGCATTTGGCAACATGGCCTGCGGGAACCCTGAGGAGAGAACAGGAAGATGGGGTCCATTACTTTGCATTTGGGGCACCTCATTCTAAGGGTATGAAGAGTATAGAAGAGGTCTGGACACCATCTCAAGAAGCAGTCAAAGGAGCCTAGGAACTTCCTTCCCTAGAGAGGAGCGGGTAAAGGGAGACCTGGTCTGGTCTCACCTCTCTGCATAATCTCTGTCCTGGGAGAGAGCATTTTGATTAGTTCTGTAAGGTCCCAGTTGGGACTTGGTGGGGAGAGGGAGGCTGAGAACTAACACTAATGAGTGGAAGTCATTTGGGCTCAACTTAAAATGAATTGCTTGTATCAAGAACCGCCCCAATCCTGTAATGTGTGATTTTGTGAGGTACTGAGTTCCCCATCACAGGGAGCATTTAAGCAGAACCTGGAAAAGTATAGGAAGGATTCTCGCAGTTGAATGATATGCCAGACTCTTCTAATTCTACCTCTCTGTGAAAAGTTACAGTACAAGGTGGAATGAAAGTCCAGCATTGGCGGGTGGATAGGAAAGCCACCCTGGAGGATGGCAGGATCTTGGGAGAGCTGGAGACAGTGGGTGGCTCGTTGTGGTTGAGATCTCGGGGTTCTGTAGCTGCATGTATCAGGGTAACAGCCATACTTCTGCTGCTTGCTAGCTGTGTGACCTTGGGAAGTTGTTCCGATTCTCTTCTGGGAAATGGGGAGGATGGTAGTAGACAGGACCAGGACTGGCCTCCGAGGCATGTAACCTGAGTAGTCACACAGGGTCCCACACTGAGAAGGGTCCTGTGCTCGGTGTGATGCTCTGCTGCTGCTATCTTGAAATTCTTAATCATTTTTAAACAAGGGCCCTGTGTTTTCATTTTGCCCTGGGCCAAGGTATGCAGCTGGTCCCGGGAGGGAGACTTGGTCGCCTGTGACAGTAACTGAAGGTAGCCGGGTTGGCTGCAGGCTCAGCTGGATCCAGGTTCCCAAAGGCTCTGTCCCTCTCATCCTTGGCCCTGCTTTCCTCCATTGGCTCCCTTCCTACGCAGTCTGTCCCCAAGGTGGCCACCAGCAGCTCAGGCGCTCCTTCCACCAGGTTAGTGGAAAAAAAGGGCTTGTGTATGTGACCTTGGGACACTTACTTATCTCTGAACCACCTGCCATGTCCAGGGTGTGGAAGGCATTAAATGCCTCCGCATGGCAGTGAGGGGACAAGGCTTCCAGACATGGAGGGATTGAGAGGTGCTGGTACCCAAGGAAATGAACTGTTATTGCAAGAAGAAGGGAGAACAGGTGCAGGGCAGTCAGAAACCACAGAGGCAGCCTCCGCAGGGATGCAGTGAGATGGTGAGCATCGTCTCACCCTCCCTGCTCCTCCTCGTCTCGGGAAGGGCCTGGTTGCCAGGGTGACCTCCTCAGGCACCCGACACAGCCTCCTGAGCATTAGGATCCCACGGCATCTGCTCCAAGCAGCCATGGTCCCCGTGGCCCAGCTGTATCTTTCAGCTGTATTCTGGGCTGGAGGATGATATGGTGTTGCCATGGAAACCACCCAGCCTCAGTGGAAAGCCCGCAGTTTCCATCACCTCGTTTCGGGAGGGCCTGAAACAGGGAAGTTTGGGCTTCTGTGGCAACTACCCTGGGGTATAAATAGAGCATAGGGCGGCAGGGGAGGGCCAGTGAGAAGGATGTGGGAGAGATGGCTCTTCAAGCAAACGTCTCTGGAGAACTCTCTCTTCTCCACACCTTAGAGATCACTGGGGAGCAGAGGTGGAGCAGAGATGGTTGGGGCAGAAAGGTCCAGGATCTGCAGGTGAACGGCCCTAGCTGTGTGACATGGGCAAACCACTTGGCTCCTCTGGGTCCTTCTTAAAAGTGGTTATACCCACTTCAAGATATAGCCATGCGGTTTAAATGCCGGTAGGGCTGAATGGGTATAAACTTGGGTTCTGGAATTTGACAAGCCCGATTCCAAACTTCTACTCTTCCACTTGTTGGCTGTGTGACCTCAGGCAACTTAATGAATGTCTCTGAGCCTCATTTTCTATATCTTTAAAATGAGGAAACGAGGTCAAAACCTAGGCCATAGGTCCGCTCTGAGGATTAAAGTGAGATAATGGCATTGAAAGTGCTTAGCCCTGGTACAGAACAAGCACTTGATAAAAGTTAGCCATATTGTTGTTGTGATCAGTTACTGACAGGAAAGCTTTGTAAACTGTCGGTTTCTGTGTGGCTAAAACAAAAAGCAACGCTCTAAAGAGCTTAATTGAGAAGGAGAGGGGCAGAGAAAGATCCTGGGGGGCTGGTTTCCCCAGGTTAGTGAAGCGAGATGCTGGAGGCTGGGGCTGCAGGTCCATCCGGAGGATGTGGGTTCTCTAAGCACAGCACTTGCGGGCTGCCTGTGAGGAGCAGCCGGAAGCCCCGCTCACAGGGTTCGAAGCCAGGCTCTGAAAGCCCCTGCCTGGAAACGGCTGTCCCCTCTCCCTGTTCCCCCTTATCACGAACCGGGGGGCAGGCGTGCAGCTGTCCCTCGGTGCCCCTGCCTCTCTCAGGCCCCTCGCCCTGGGGTTGCACAGCGACAGACAGCAGGTGACCGTGACTAGCCTGTCCATGCTTGTGTGCTGAGAGGCCCCTTCGCAAGGTCCACGGGAGAGGCAGGGGGGTGGCCAGGCCCCGGCTGGCTCTGCGGGCCCTCCTCCCACGTGGGGGCGGTTCTCAGTGATCAGGGAAACCCTGTCCTCAGCTCTCCCTGGCTGGTTTCAGGTTTGCCTCTCTTTGCACAGCTGATCTGTTCCTGAAAAGCTGCTGTAGTGAGGTCCTCTGTTCAGGGCCCCACTGAAAGCCCTTTGGGGCTGGATCCTTTGGATTCCTGCACCCCTCGTTTGCCATATCTGCAAATCAGTGTTTTCTCTGGGGTTAGTGAGTTTCTCTTCCTCAGTGAGAGCCTCTGAATTCCTGAGCGTGGTGGGAACCAGCACAGTCAGGATGTACATTTTGTGGAGCCCTGGGGCGGTCGTGAGGGTTGACTAGGACAGTGAGTGAGGACTGCCCTGCCGTGTGGCACCTGGCAGTGGTTATGTACACGTTCCTTATTCATGGACACAGCACACCTACCCTGGCCGGACCTCACCAGGTACAGTCCCTGCTCTCACGGAGCTGACGTTCCTATGGGGGCAGAGATGATAAATCCTGAAAACAAATGAGCGTGGAATGACAACACTATTAAGAAAGTACAGCGTGCTTACCTTTTCAGGATAAGAAGGGCCTGGGAGGGGGCGGTGGGGAGGGGCTAGGGAAGGGATGGTATTCTGTAGGGTGGTCCAGGAAGGCCTTTCCGAGGAGGTGACGTTTGAGCAGAGCCCTGAAGGAAGCAGAGGAGTGAGCCATGTTAGTATTTGGGGGAAGAGGAGTCTAGGCAGAGGGAACAGCAAGTGCAAAGGCCCTGAGGCAGGAGAGCGCCTGGCACAGAGAGCAAGGAGACCTATGTGACAGAAGCAGAGGAAGCAAAGATCCAGCCCCAAAGGGCTTTCAGTGGGGCCCTGAACAGAGGACCTCACTACAGCACCTTTTCAGGAACAGATCAGCTGTGCAAAGAGGAAATAAGGCCTGGGAAGAGCAGGGGCCAAATGATGCAGGGCCTCGTGAGCCATTGAGAAGACACTGGCTTCTTCCCTGAGAGTGGTGGGAAGGCAGCGGAGGTTTTCAGCAGGGACACGGAAAGATTAACATTTAAATGGCTGTGCAGCTGCTGAGTGCCAAATGGGCCGTAGGGCAGGAGTGCTTGACCCTGACTGCACTGGGCTTAGCGTGGTGACCACCAGGAAGTGCCAGGAAAGTGATTGGAGCGGATAATGAAATGCTTTCGCACGGCGAGCGTGTCCCCAGGTTTGGGGGTTACGGTGGGGAGAGGCAGTCCAAGTGGATGGGAGCAGCGGTGGAGCACATGGTTCATGGAATCTGACCTTGGTCCTTGCTCTCCCTTCTGCAGGTGAAGCAGGAAATGGATGGCATCATAACCAAGATCATTCAGAACTACAAGGATGGTCAGGAGGACAAACTGCAGGAGGCCTGGGACTACGTGCAGGCCCAGGTAAGGTGGGGGGCGTGTGTCGGCATGTCTGGGTCTGGTCGTCTGTGTGTCCGCTGAGATAATGTTAGCAAATTTGTATGTGAGTGTGTATCTGATGGGGGCGGGGGCTCCTGAGCACCCCCCTACCTGGGACCCCAGCCACCACCACAGCGCCTCGCTTGGGGGCCCAGGGTGTCGGAGGCTGCCCCATGGCTCACAGCGCTCCCGTCTGTGGTGGGGAGGGGGCGGTGTCAGTTCCCGATCCTCTCATTTCAAGCCAGGTAGGCAGGTACTGGGAGCTCCACCCTGGAGGTGCAGAAACGGGGCACCAAGGCTGATATGCTGACACAGGTCCGAGTGGAGGCTACCTCTGGGGAGGTACCCATGGGAACCCTCTAGGGCGAAAGGAATGCTCTATTCAAATCCCGATCCAGGTGGTGGTTGTGCCAGTATGTATACAAAAATTCATCCAGCTGAATCTGTACAGTTCAGTGTCTATGTCTCCTACCGCAATTAAAATGGAAGCGCCAGGGACCAACTGACTGACCGACAGCATAACTGAATGACAGACAGACTGACTGACTCAAGGACTCACTGACTGAATGGGTGAATTAATGATTGGATGAGTGAATGAATGAATGGGTTCCCAACCTGCCTTGATGGTGAACCAATCATCACACGCACACATTTGACCTCAGTGATCAGGTCTTGGCTGCCTGCTCTTTGTGGTCTCAGATGCCATGTGCCCTGGTCCAGGACCCACACCCTCTGGGCTGCAGACTCCTCCTCTCTCCCGTGGGGGCACTGGACACACTAGTCACTTAGGACTTGCCGGCACACCTGACCAGCAGGAGAGTTTAGAGACTGGAGCTGTCCAGAAGACGTGGGCTCACCGTTTTCTGAGCTGTGGACAGAGGAGGGTGATGTTTTCTGGCCTACGTGCCTCACAGATCTTTTTTGGTGAGGCCCGGACGAGGCCGGGTCAGAGGGCCTGTGTTAGCCAGAGGGCTCGGTGCACACAGGAAGGCGTCTCATCACACCTTTAGTTTGACCCATAATTCCTGAGACCCTTCGCAGAGATTAGTGGGAGATGGATGTCCCAGGATGAACAAGTGCCACCTTTCAAGGAACCCGAGGGAGAGGTGGGTCCCTTGGGAGATGAGGAGCAGCCCACCATGGGAGGTGGTTGGCTGGCTTGGGGATTCCTGCAGCGGACGAGGCCCCTAGATGATTCTGATGTCTGTGAGAGGCTTCTTGGGATGGTGGTTAAGGAAGCAGGCTGTAAGGCAGGCATCGGAGGGCTGGAATGCTAACTCTGCCACTGCCCGAGCCTCAGTTTCCTCATCTATAAAACGGGGCTACTGATCCATACTCGTGTGAGACGAACTTTTAAAGCCAGTGACACTGAGGCAGCGCTTATCATGTGGCGATGTTTTTGTTTGTTTGTTTTGGTTTTTGTTTGTTTGTTTTTGCCACTGAGACACACGGTGGGTGGTGGCTGAGGTCAGACCTTGGCATGAGTCAGGGCAGGAGGGCTCTGCCTGGTGCAGTAGAAAGGCCAAGGAAAGCTGCCTCGTTTCGCTTGGGTGTGGGAGGGCCTCTGAGTGCCCCTCGGCGGTGCCAGCCTTTCTGCCGGAGAGGAGGCCGCCAGGCAACTCAACGTGAAAAATACAACACGGAGCCTTGTCGGCCCCTGACTGTGCTTGGCGCGCCCCCTGCTGGACACTGGGCTGCTTGTCAGGGACTCGCCACCCTGAGATGGAAACAAAGCAGGCAGGGAACTGACCGTGCACTGGACACCGAAGCACGCAGCTCGCCCAGGCAGCCCACTTAATTCTTCCAAGCACCCTAGCATCGTGGTTATTGTCAGATGAGGAAACGGGCTCAGAGAAGGGCCGTGGCTTGCCCATGCACAGAGCAGGACCAGGATTTGAAAGGAGCCCTTCCCCAACTCAGCCCCACCTTTCCAGGCTCTTTCCAGCACAGGCCCAGCCCCGGAGATCCCAATCCTGCTGATCTGAAGCCACATATGATCTGAAGCCTCTCAGGGTGCCCTTCCTGAGCCCCACGGAGGCCCGTTTTAACACACGGAGCCCAGAAATCATTCTTCCCCCTCCGGAACTAGAGCATTTTCTCCTCTAAAAAGGCAGAACGGACCATATCACCCCTTTTCACTTTGGCAACCAGGAAGCTCAGAGGCAAATCGCAATTCCCGTATGTGCTCAGCACCTAAGAGTGGAACTGGCTTTCCCGAGCAGCTGCTGCGCTGTCCAGACCGGTGCTGGGCGCTCTGCCGGCCTCATCCTCTGTAGTCCTCGACACAGCCTTGGGAGTTAGAAACCCGTTACCCCGTTCAGCAGCTGAGGAAACTGAGGTCAGTACTTTGACCAAAGTCGAACAGCTGGTAGGTGGCAGAGCTGGGATTTGAACCCAGAAACCCGACTCCAGGCCCCCTTCTCGTCACTCGTGCCATCGGCCCTCCTCGAGTCCCCCTCGCCTATATTCTTTCAAGTTGACTTTCCTTCTGTCCTGCTTTCTATTTTTGCTGGTCCTGATTTTTCCTTCCTCCCGTTTAATAGTTTATGGTATGTATTTCCTGAAAGTCCCTGTATATCCTCGGTGAAACCTAAACCCAAATCCTGGCAGTTCGGCTGGGACCAAGAGAGATCCGGAAATGGCAAATCTAAGCCCCACCTCTGCCGGGAGGACAGCCCCCCCACGTAGGCAGTGGCCATGATCAGCCTGTCCCCTCTCTGCCCAGGGGAAGTGCTGCGGCTGGGAAGACTTCCACAACTGGACAGAAAATACTGAGCTCATGAATCGCACCAACGTCACCTACCCCTGTTCTTGCGAGAACAAGACGGAGGATGACAGCGCCCTCGTGAGGAAGGGCTTCTGCGAGGCCTACAGCGTCAACGAGACACAGAGCGGCAACAGCCCCCAGGACTGGCCCGTGTATCAGGAGGTATCTGGAGGGCTGCGGGGCCGGGGTGGGGTTTGGAGACATCTGTGGTTCAGGTACTCGGGCCACCTAGGCTCATCAGCTCCATCCTTCCTTTCACTTAGCTGTTCCTGCCTTTGGTCCATTTGCTCCCTGGTCATTGGTACCTTCATCTATGTATTCGTTAATTTATCCATGCAAGGAATGCATGGAACACTGCAGGTCCCTCCCGGTAGTTCTGCCTGATGGGGTCAGGCGGGATGACCTCGGCTGACATGGCTGTGTTTCTCCTTGTAGGGCTGCAAGAGTAAGGTGCAGGCGTGGCTGCAGGACAACCTGGGCATCATCCTGGGCGTGTGCGTGGGCGTCGCTGTCATCGAGGTCTGGATCCCCTCCCCTGCAGTCCTCCCCATGCTCTGTCCTCCCAGATTGTCCCTGCTTTGTTGATCTGCTTGGGGAGGCTGAGGCCTGTCAGCTTCTAGGGGCCCTGCGGCAAGCCTCCCCGGCCCTTCTGCTGCCTGAGTCACAGGCTGGTCCTGAGGCTCTAGCTGAAGATCCACTTAGTTCAGATCGAACCCTGCATGTCGACTTGGACAGCAAAATGCTGCTCTGGGATCTCGGGGGGACTGGGCAGTACTGCCTCCTCTGACTCATGCCCTTTCTCGACAGCTCCTGGGGATGCTCCTTTCCATCTGCTTGTGCCGGCACATCCATTCCGAAGACTACAGCAAAGTCCCCAAGTACTGAGACAGCTGCTGTCCCCACCGCCCTACCTGTGCCCCAACCTCAGGGGCCGCAGGGGGTCTCCCTGGCTCCCCTCTCTAGGCCCGCCTCCCACCTCACTGCCAAGACCCCTTGTCCGTCCTGTGCTGGCCGGAAGGTGGGGGGCTTTCTGGGGCTTGGACTCCTTTACCCTTCCTGCCTCCAGCCTTGAGCCCGGCTGTTCTGTGACCCCTCAGCTCACTGCCTGCTGGGGTTCTCTGAGCAACTCAGAGAAGACACTCCCCACAGCATGTCTGCATAGGTGGGCTGGGTTTCTCCTTGCCTTGGGGGCTGTATATTTTGTATGTGGGAAAGTGTATTAAAAATTAGGGGGTAGGGATAAGGCACCCTGGGTTGTCAGGGGGCTGCCCACTGCGTGGGTCAACTTTTTTTCCACTATGATGCATATATCTTTGGTTTTCACATTTCTATTAAAGGTTGTAGGAGAGGGTGGGCTTTACCTGATGTTAGGGGTGGCACCCCTTTCCCAGGCCATGACCCAGCCCAGCCCAGGCAGCTCAGATCTGCCCTGGGGCCGTGAAGTAGGGGTAGAGCCTAGATGAGCTAAGTTGAACAGGGTCTGGACTGCTTAGGGAACCGGAGGGGCACGTCCTCAGGCTGTGTCACAGAGCAGGTACTGCATTCACTAAGAATTCCCTGAGCTGTTCAGGGAAGGGGGGAGGATGCTTTCTCCTGTCCTGTGCTCCCTGGGGAGAGGGTGGGTGAGGCTGTGCCTTATAGGGGAGTGGGAGGGGCTCCGTGCACAGTTCCCGAGCATACCTGAGATTTGAAGAATGAGTAATAAAGAGGATTTGTAACAACCCAGTCTGACTTGGTGGAGATGCTGCCTCCCAGGACAGAGGATGATCAGAGAGGGGAGAGAAGGTGTGAGGGAAGTGGCCGGGGCTGCGAGGAGCAGTGGTGAAAGCCTCACTGCTGTCCCCAGGGCAGGGGCCCCTTCTCGGCTTCTCTAGTCCCCTCTTCAGTCTGGTACCCAAAGACTGTGAGGCCTGGCTCTGGTCCATCTGCCTGGCTGCTACTGTGGCTGGAGTTTGATTTGCATATTGAAACAGGTGTGGATTGTACTTGTAGGTTCCTGCCTCTGAAACCGGGTACAGGTACCCCCAGAAGGTACATAAAAGTAGGCTGGTGGTGGGGGCAGTGTGAGGGGGAGTTAGTGAAGCCATGGGATAAACTTGGCCTCTCTCTAGAGCATCCGTTTTTGATGAAGGAAGGAAACATTTTTGTATTAAAGAAATGTGATGGAGTAAGATGTGCCGAAGTCAGGAGTTTTAAAGATGTAATATGAAATTTTAAAGGAAGCTCTTGTACTCAGAGGGTGAACTCCAGCACACCCCATGCCAGGTATCATGAAGCCTGGAGGAAAGGTTCAGGCACACTGCCTTTATGGCTATGTTAGGGCATGTGACCTCTAGGGTGGGGCGGATATTGAAGACAGGGAAAGACAGACTGAGGAGGACAACTGCCCTTTCGTCTCTAACTCTCCAACTTCTCCCTGGCCCTGGAGGAGGAAGACGGGGTGAGGAGGGGTGGGGGTGACCTGCCTCCTTGCAGTAGAGTGGGAAGGGCAGCAGAAGGAGGTGGTTCCAGAAGCACCCACCAGGTGGCGCTGCTGCACCAGCCTAGGAGCCCAAAATTGTTCCAGTTACTCCACCTGCCTCACCAGTTCCCAGGCCGGTGGTCTCTCATTTGGAGTGAGGACAGGGTAGAAATTGCAGATTCAAGGGCTCAGCAGTTCTGAGATGGAGACAAGGAATCTGCATTGTCAGCAGCCCTCCCAGGGAATTCCTAAATCACGTGGCTTTAGATTCTCAGGCCCCAATAAGATGTAGCCACAAATGTATCCCAAAGAGAGATGGAGTCGGGGGGCCCAATAGTCTTGTCCTCAGCCAGGATGGAGGGGGCACACCTTAGTAACAGTCTCACTCTTCATCTGAACCTAATTAATTTCTCGAAAGAAGTTTTAGGTGGCTGAGATCTAGGGCCAGCCCACTTTCAGGCCTGTGGGAGTCGCCAGGCACAACTCTGGGGGCTGGGGGAGCCTTAAGCTCCATGACAGCTGTTCTCTGCCACAATCAGGAACCCTCCCTGGAGCTATCATGCTCAGAGGGCTGAGGGCTCCACTTGAAGCCATTCCAGCTTATTTTACTTATAACCTGCCTTAGTCCACAAAGGAATTACATATAATTAAATATAAAACATAACAGACAATAGAAATTTATGAGAAAGTGTAGACATGGATGAAATAAACACAGCCGAGTTGCCCACCCTGGTGATAGCAAATGTATACTATGCACTGTGTGTTCTCCATGGCCGTACTCACAGCAGACATCACTAATTGATCACTGTTCTCATTTTCTTAGCCCAGATGCACCCTGGCCTTGCCTAAGGCTGATATCACTCATTGCAGCCTCAGAATCCTTCTTAGCTGAGCACCATTGGTCAATCTGGTCGGAATGCAAAATGAAAGCAGTTGCCATCCTTGAGCTCTAGTTATTTAATTGAACCATATATAATTTTGCCTTTGAGCTTCCCGGTGGTCAAAGCAAAAAAGGAAACCTTTGTCAGTTGTGTATGTCTCATTTCTCAAGGTTTCCTCATACCTACCTACTGGGAAGAATGTTGCTGTCCAGAATTTAGAATTCAAGACCACTCTCAAACACACAAACATTGATAGTCCTTCATCACTGAAGCAAAAAGCATAAATGAACCTACTGTGTGTCTGACTTTGTGCTGGTTATTGGGAGTGAGCACAGAAATCATCCTTCTGTGAAAGAGGAACCTAGAAGACCAAGTAAATGCAGGAGAAACAATTGGATGATAATTATACATACAGTTGGTGCTTAGGTAGCACTTGCTCTGTTAACTGATTTGCCCACCACAGTCCTATGAGGTGCATGTTCATTATCCCCATTTTACAGATAGGACAATGAAGAACAAGAGGTTAAATAATTTCCTTAACATTCTGCCATTCCTAAGAGGAGCTGGGAGCCATACACCGACCATCTGGTTGCAGACAAGGAGAATATAGGGCTTCGGCTCAACTTGGAGTTGTGTGGGGTGGGGATGGGGTCCGATTTAGCTCAGGAGTCCCTCAGCGCACACAGAGCAATTCCATCCGTATCACTAGGTCTTGGGAGGGGTATAGTTGCTCATCCCCTTTACTTTGCAAAGGGTTCGGCCTGTGGGTCAGGCAGAGTTGAGTTCCAGTGGAGACTCTGGTGTTTTGGAGCCACATGGTCCTGGCAAACCCCTTTGCCTCTTGAAATCCCTTTCATCTCACTTGAA